TCACTAATTCATATTATATCCGTTTCCTTCATCATTTGATTTGCTTTTACTCTAACCACTAGAATCTTATCCCTTCTACTTATACTTTCTCAACAGCCCCTTTCAACACATGTCCCTGTTTCAATTTCATCTCTCTTTTCTTTTATCTGTACATTTCTTCAGAAGATTAAAGACAGAAAATCTGTGATGGGATTTTTTTAAGAAATTAAACACACACAATATTTATGCAATGTCTGCAATCCAAGGTCTTAGGTGCACTGATATACAGAGATGTTTTGGGGGGATCTGACTTCCTCTGGTTCTCCTTATGACAGATGGAGTGGCAAAACTCTTTGAATACTATCTACTATACAGTAGAGCACTGAGGTCATCCTGCTAAACACCTTGGCATTGATGTGATGGTTGGCATTCTCTATCAGTATTCAAACCATTATGGGATCAGTCCTCATTAAGAAATGAAAATAAAACACTAAAAAATGAACGAATGCTATATTAACATAAGAATCTCCAGAAAATATGCTATATACATCATGCACACCCCACGTAACACTGTGTAATCTCACAAACTTACCATGCATCCTACCTACCTTTTCAATGTTAGACATTCCACACTGCTGCCACCATCACCTTAAATATGGCATAAAAAAATGTAACATGCTAAACCAAAGAATGAGCACTTAAGTGTATTACTGAAAGGCTGGCCATGAAAATGTTACCAACATATGAAAACCGAAACTAATCTGTTTCTTTAAAATATGACTAAATACAACTATGATATTGTTACATGTTCTTTCACTGAAGACACCGTTTGGACTGTTAATTGGTTTATTTAACAACCTACAGATGGGAACTACAATTAATTATAACACTGTTATGGGTCTACATAATTTACAACCCTACATAATAATCTGTCCACTCTGTCCTCAGTAGTCTACACGTATTCACAGTACGATACGGGAGCTATACCAGTGTCGCTGTATTACACTCTCCCAATTACTTCTCTTGTGAGCCAAGCATCTGCTTTTCACACTATCACTTCTAACCAAACGTTCCGGTATTCTTCTTTCCGCTACAACTGAACTCAGCAACTGTTCCAATTCAACTGTCTCCAGCGACGGCTACATTTCAACTCAACTGACTCTGAATTGTGTTTGCTGCTCCTTATTTAGCCTAGGCACGGACATGACAGAAAACAGTTACGTGTTGGGTACCGCTGTTGCCTGACGCCGTGTTTGCCAATAGCCTAGCAATGCTGTCGGGTGTTGTTTACTTCTGCATAGCAACTGCGGCATCCCTTGGTCACGTCACCACGGGAGGGGGCAGGGTGCTCACTGGCCTATTACCGTAGCAACGGCAATGCTCTGAAGGTGTTACGTCACCGCTGCCGGGGGAGGGGGTTTCCTGCATAGCGCAAATATGTCACACTGCTCCCTTCTAAAGGTTGTTTGTCTCGAACAGCCTAACGGTACATCCCCGTTCCTCTGCTTGCAATGTCTCCTGTTGTTTCGGCTACTCTTCTTGCAGCGACTGTTCTTCGTCCGTTACATCTGCTCCCCTCTTACGACCAGCTTGTCTCAAGCGGTTCCCTTTTAACTTGCCAGAAGATCCAGTTGTATCACATTCATCTGTCGCACATTCACTCTTCATCGGGAGGCTGGTACTTCTACATTACCGGTTCTTCCTCTCCTTGAAATCTCCTCTTTCCATTTTGGAGGGGGGTCGACCCCTCCACAGTGTCCAGTGTCTCACCTCTCTTAATCTACTGGAAATCCAGATGGTTCTCTTCGCGCCCTCTGACTCGAGAGCTTGTCCAAGGGCCTCATGTAATGTCTTCATGCTTCTAAGAACGGGTTCCTTGAAGTTTCAGCTCCTTAGTCTTCTGTTGTCTCCCAGGTGTACTAGACGTCGTTTCTGGAGCACTTGCCTTTTCTGGGATCATGCTGGAGCATTGTCCCTGTCTCTGCGTCTCCTACGCCATACCACTTCTTCGTGGCTGGTCTTCCTGATTCTCTCAGCAGCCAGTTCATTCCGCTGTCGACATTTTTCCTGGGTCTTGTTCACCCTGGGGAATCTCTCTTGAGTTGTGCCACTGTTACACAGCTAGTCATATTTCTGTCGGCAGCCAATTCATGCCGCGGTCCACATTTTACTTGGGTCAAATTCTTCATTGGTTGCTTGTTCTGGTCCCTACGCCTTTTCTTCTTTGGTTCTCTAACCGGCATTACTTCGGCGTCTTCTACGGGTACCTCTCGTTCTGCCGCCTCAGGTTTCATGTCCACTGAGGCCGGCTTTTCTCCTTCTAGACATGCCTCTGTCTCTTGGCAGGCCATCGTCACTCCGACCGGTATTACTAAGGGGACATCTTGTTGTGCCGCCGCAGGTTTCATGTCCACTGAGGCCGGCTTTTCTTCTTGTAGATGTGCCTCCATCTCTTGGCAGGCCATAGTCTCTTCCTCTATTTCAGGTTGAAATGCGTACACCATCTCCATGTGGCTGGTGTGCATATTTTCTCGCATGGCTTCCATCCATGCTCTGATCACTTCAATTTTATGTTTGAGTGTCTAATCCAACTCTGAACGCATAGATCACGCTTTCATCTCTTCCTTGTCAGCTCTCCTATCAGTCACCACCTTTACTTGGTTGGCGTCTAATTTTGCCAGCATGATGTCTGCTTTTTCTTGGCCACCTCTCATCTCTGTCAGCACATCCTCTTTGTCTTTCTTCCAATTTTCTTGCATGGCCTTCATCTCTTTCAGCAGGAGTTCCATCATCTGCTGGGAGTCCATTTTGCAGAAGTATAGTACTCGATGCACTTGTAAGTTCAGTTATTCATTGAGGTGTGTTGAAGTTCGTAAACAATTCTGACACCAGTGTTACTTGTTTTTCCACTGAAGACGCCGTTCGGATTGTTAATTGGTTTATTTAACAACCTACAGATCAGAACTACAATTAATTTAACACTGTTACGGGTCTACACATTTACAACCCTACACAATAATCTGTCCACTCTGTCCTCAGTAGTCTACACGTATTCACAGCATGATACGGGAGCTATACCAGCGTCACTGTATTACACACTCCCAATTACTTCTCTTGTGAGCCAAGCATATGCTTTTCACACTATCACTTCTAAACACACGTTCCAGTATTCTTCTTTCAGCTACAACTGAACTCGGTGACTGTTCCAATTCAACTGTCTCCAGCGACGGCTACATTTCAACTCAACTCAACTGACTCTGAATTGTGTTTGCTGCTCCTTATTTAGCCTCGGCATGGATATGACAGAAAACAGTTACGTGATAGGTACCGCTGTTGCTTGACGCAGTGTTTGCCGATAGCCTAGCAATGCTGTCGGGTGTTGTTTACTTCTGCATAGCAACCTCGGCATCCCTTGGTCACGTCACCACGGGAGGGGGTGGGGTGTTGACTGGCCTATTACTGTAGCAACGGCAATGCTCCAAAGGTGTTACGTCACCGCTGGCAGGGGAGGGGGTGTCCTACATACCGCAAATATGTCACAATATTTAGGTGTGAACTAATAACATTTCTATTCTTAGAACTGGAGTGTGAACTAAATGAGTGGTGACAGCAGAACCAGAGATATTTAAGAAAAGATGCCAGTGATATATGAGACACTTCACACATTTGTAGATTTATGTAACTTTTATCAAGTTTATTTGTAAAATTGAAAAATGACTTCAACATGATAAAAATTTACGACATTCATGTACTAGGAGATTACACATGCCATGTGAACACACTATGAGAAACACACTTGCAAATAAAGGTAGAAACATGATATAATTACTATGCATATATAATATACATGGAGATAGAGAACACTACATCTTTACTTACCCAGTGACACAAATACAATGAGGGTTGTTCTCATTATGCCTGCATTTCTCTGGATTCTGTGTAAGACAGCATTCTGTATCTACATGTTATCATACATACACTGGAATATAGGTTTCTGCTTTTAAATTTTCAGATATGGTTCACACATATACTTTGATGCAGATTGTTATATAAGTAAATATGGTATTGTAACAGAGTAATAGTGCAGGAAAAGTTAAGATTTACAGCCGAGGTCTCATTTGAAGGACTCTAACATTCTGTTTTGTGATTAACATCTTCCTTTGAAAATTCCTTAGTTCACAGGACACGCAGTAGAAAATACAATGTCATATTTCATTAATGCCTTTAAAGTTTTAATGTCACTTGTCAACCGAGGAAGTGCCAAATATATAAAACCCTCTTTGTACAGTATAAATTGTAACTAAAACTAATAAGGTGAGCAGAGTCCTCAAAAAGGCAAACATGATTTCAACCACATAGTAAAGGGGGAATGATGAAGTTGCTTATAAATTCCATTTCTATATTTGACCAGTATGGTAAGTACACAGTACCACTAAAAACCACCAGGCCTGAACAAGAAGATAAAACTTTTTACTTAAATAAATTATGTACTAATATCGAAATATGTTTTCATCACCTGTCTGCTCCAATGAAGACAGATAAGCTGATGATAATAAACCTGTTGGGAAGGCAGAGCCTGGTTACTGAGAAGTGTTGTACAAGAATGATGATGCAGCACTGAGATTTATTACTTCATAACATAAACTCCAGAAAACTTTATGCAACTTGCTGACACCCAAAAACAACTGAGTTAAACCTCATTCAACAGCACATTCTCTAAAAATATTTCTGAAAATTGCCCAAGTCTGCAGGTTTTAGACCAATTTAAACGGGAGAATCAAAATATAGTTTTCTAATTTATGAATTTGCTAATTTGCTTTCATTAAGTTGTTATAAGTTTCCCACTTGATGTGCTGCTGAGAGAAGTGCTTGCTGTAACAGCTTATGGAATCAAGTCTACTCTTAAATTATATATTGATCAAAGGTGTCAAGAGGCATTACACATAAAGCCATTAAACTACAGAATAACAGGACAGAGCAGATTGGAAGGGAAATATTAATAATGGATTAGCTCATCAGACTAAGATCCTCAATATTCATTCAAATATTAAATTACAATATCTCATCAAACAAGATGAAAAGTCACTCTTGAATGAAACAGAACTGAGAATAGTTCTTCTTGTACTTTACAAACGGTTCTTGAACATTCATTCATTCAAAAAAAAATTGTTCTTACACCCCTGCATGCAAACAAAGAGCAACTGTTTGCGTGCAGGCAAGATTATGAAGAGTCTTTGTGCTCCCTGCATATTACCATATCACTTGTGCATTGTGATTCTGAACAGTCAACACTGGGAAGAGAAAAATGTTTAAATAGAATATGGGATGTAGATGTGGATACAACGTATATATAAAAATCTATCACTTGGTACCTCTGTTTCTTGAGATTCCACTTCCTTCCCTGTTACAAAACCGATTCATTCAAAATGTACAACTATTGTTGGACTCATGCTGTTTCTCCTCATTTTGTAACTTGTACATCACAACCCAGTTCACTTCAGAAGGGCATAGTCTTCTTCACCACCTCTGTAAAAACCAATCCTTTTTTGCAGCACCATTCCACTCGACAATGTAGCAAGCCCACAACACAATACAGCAACTACTGTACTCTGTGCAGTAAAGTCATTGACCCACAACTTTATAACCAACGTAACAAAAACAGTTCCTTGGCAACACAGACTCAAAACATGGCATGCAGTCATCCTTTACATATTCAGTAATTTCAGCAAGCACCAGATCCAAACACTGCAGTATTTCAGAAGAATGATTACGTATAGTATTACTTTTTGTGCTTTAAATTAAAACAAGAGAGCATCATGAGCAAAAAGTAATGATGCTTTGAGACTCTAACCCCATATTGGCCCACCCAAAGAAATACTGTTTCTTATATAAGGAGGTGGCTGCAAGCTTACATTATACTGTTCTGTTAAGACTGAAGAAAGAGGAATGGTCAACAGTAAACATCCAATACTGGAACTGCACTCAAGCATTAGTCTGTAAAATATACCAATCTTTCATTAAAAAATTACTATAGAAGGGAACCATGAAAATACTTATCATCTTCCTTTCCATCTGTGCAGAACTGGAATTCAAATTTTAACAAAGTTTATTTCCTTTCGCTACCTTCAATCAAGATAATACCAGTGGACACACTGAAACTTGTGCTTAATAGTTCACACCTTCACCCACTCACATGAACAGCTGACCTGGTGGGAAAATTGCTTGTGCACACAAGAGTGAGTTTGTATCCTGCTGTTGGCAATGTTTAACTTTAAGTCCAATTAAATATTATAGTACATCAAAAATTATTGCCTTTATGACTATGTTCACATAAACATCACGCCTCTTTTCTTCACATAGATGGAGATCAACTATTCACACACACACCAACAAGCACCATCTGCACTGGTCTACCCGCCCATCACAGGAAGGTGGCGGAATGAGCCACACTTCTAATCCTCCTTTGGGTAGAAAACACAAGACTCTAGCGCCAGAGGAAAATTACTGACACCCAGTCATGTCACTCTGTCAGTCCAGAATTACCACTAGTTCATCCATGCCCCTCACGTTCAATTTTCTCCAAGGTTTTCTAGCTGCCCTTCGAAGTTCTGTTCCCGTCAGCTGTCTTCTCATTTTCCTGAAATTCAACAAAACAAGAAAACCTCAGGTAACCATACAGTTGAAAAGACAAACATCAAAGTTTAACCACAAAAGCTATCTGCAGTTCTTGAATATTCAATACAGGTATACATGTATGAGAGTTGTGATCCAAAAAGGTCACAGAGGATCATCTTAACATATTACAAACTGTACTGAAGATTTTCTTATACCCCATAAGAGTTACAGTACTATATGTGAAGAAGTGGTTGCATTATTCCTACATCACTCACATACTACTCTGCTCCCCAATCTCCCAACCTCTCTCAAAATCCCAGCATTTATGCAAGTGTTATTAATTGAAATTAGTCTAAATTAGCTGAGCGCATTATATGAAGAACACTTATGCTTCAAATTCTGCGAAGATTGAAGGTCTTTTACATTGTACTCATTCTAATTGCCACACTTTGTAGAAATACATCTCATATATTTGAGACAGGAAACTGCTGCGAAATGAAAAGCACAAATCAGGTTAGAGTATCCCCACAATATGATTCAGGAATTTCTGACCACAAGTCAGCTACCTTACATTACCTTTGAAGCCTACCAAGTTCCTCTGGAGAAAGTCTTTTCCTATCAACGACATCTTAATTAAAAAGAGATATTTTCTGTGACAAACCAAAATCAGATATGAGAGATTTTCAGCAGAGAATATGAAGGAAAATAAATATTCCACACTTAAGTAATTTCTTAGGCACAAGAACGTGTAAACTTACTTGGTTCCATCTGTGGATCGAAAGTAGACATCATCAGGAGCATCCATCCAGGAGATCACTTGCTTGCGACCACTGCCTGAGCGGGTCATTGTAGCTATTTTGGCTTTTCCATTGAGGTGATTAATGACAGATCGACCCATCATTGGAGAAAATGCTTCAGTGCCTCGTACTGGTCCCACTTCCTTGTTGGGGCGCTTGGCAGGAGGGCCAGGCTGTGGTACTACAATACCTGCAAACAGTGAATTATATTTCAAAAGGAGCTCTTAAATCCACTGTGCTGCAATGTGCACATAGAAACATAACTCACACAGTCCTTATTATAACAGGAGCCTTCGAATATGCTAGAATCATTACACAAGCAATGGCATGCAGTACCATAACAAAGCTGGAAAACAAAAGTATAAAGAAATTAAATGTGATTATCAACACAAATGTCCAAGTTAACACTCCTGCAGAAATTTCAAATCAGTTGGATTCATTACTTATGTTCTTTTGTAAAAATTAAAGGCCTTGTTTCCAACAAATGACAGTAGAATGAAGTTGAGAGAAAGCATTTCATATAAATACATTACTCCGAAGATGAACAATTACTTAATACAAATATTTTTGGAACACTGGTGGGAACATAATTAAAGCTGGAATCAAAGAACAAAGACTTATATGAATACAGAATACTTGAATTTTATAACATTAACTCCAAAAGTGGCACTGTTTGTTTCTTAGCTGAAATGACTGACATTTGTAGAGTAATAAAAATCTGTGTAATATTTCTAATTTCAAAAGATGTGCTGGAAACATATGTCTATTCTGATCTAAGACAAAACAACTCATTTTCTATCAATACCAACAAATTTCTGAAATACTTAATCAGCCAGTGCAGAGTGATGTTACAGACATGCAAATGCTACAATTGTGATCTAAAACACGTTTTGCAGATACACTTATTACTTCATAATTTGCAAACATGATCAGAAAATGTTCTGCAACCTGAACACCTGTGACTGACTAAGAGTAAACTCAAGTCCTGCTGCCCTCTTTCATTCTCTTCAGTTCAGTTGCTGAATCTGTCCACTTTGGAAAATTAAGCTTAAAATCTAAATCTCCATGTAGCTGCTGGGCATAAGGAAACAACGATGATCAACATCTACCTGATACATAATGGGCATGCCATGAGTTGGCATGGGGTGTAGGCTGGCAAATCAGGAGGGGTGACTGTGGACCTGCACTATGCTGTTACTAACTCTATAAACACACGCCCACTTCAAGTCACCCACATGTTGTGTTCTCTGTTTATTGCTAAGTAACTGTGATGCTGGCACAAAGTGAAGCATGGACTGACAATTCACAGTAGACATAAATATCACTGAAAATGTAATAGGTGCTGTGAGGAGGAAGCTAACAGTGTTCCCACTGCGAGGGCTGAAATATCCTGCAATTTATCATCACATATGGAATGAAACTAAGAACTGTGTAGCAGAAGGTGGGTTGCCAACACCAGGGAAAATACAAAAGTGTCCAAATGTCCAAAATGCAAAGGCACAGGACTCTTTGACTTCCAGCTAATAAATGACGATGCTGAAGGTTTTTATTTATTAAAAAAGATATTATTTTATAAGCAGCTTATCCCTGTGTTAAAGGAAATGATTAATTTTGACTGTTAAGTTACCAATTTAAGGAAATACTTAAATAAATGAACCCCAAAGTAAAATATAATTGAAAGGGTGAGCACTATGAGCTGCAATTGTGCATACCTACAGCAAATAAGAAAATGCAGGTAGGCAGGAAACCACTTTTGTACCTGAATAGGACATGGGTGGATGCCAATTTGATGTTTAGCAAGTGCTGGCAGAATAAGGAAGCTGAAGGAATTACAACTAAGACTTGCTGCTGTTCATCTGAGTAGATATGGTAGCTATGTTGAAGGCTGTAAGATGGTGTACAAAGAAGGTAAACCTAGAGGCAATTACAACAGGCAAATGAACTCTGATAACTTTGAAAACTGGGTAAATGAGGAAGTTTTTCTAAATCTGGCAAACCCATCTGCCACCATCATGGGCCATTTAGAGCAAGCTGATAAATCACAGATCATGCCATCTCAAGACATACCTGTTTGAATATTTGTGACATCACAAACTGCCATACAAAAAAGGTATGATGAAATTCACTTTTCTTGTTAGTTGAAAAGATCCACCCCAAGGAGAAAGTGCAGCTCATTGATATGCTGTTTGCAGCACATGGCATTACAGAAATTCAGCTGCCACCTTACATGTGCAACTTCAAACCCATAGTTAGCCTGGCATCAAATTGTGGACCACAAATGATCCTACAATATGACCACAAATATATTGCTAACATGCCTGCAAGAAGGGATCAAGGTTGTGACAAAAGAAGATTTGGCCTGTTATTGCCACTTACTTACTTACTCATGGAGCTGAGACCTTCTTGAGGAGCTGCCAACTCTGCAGCTACTTGAGAATTTCCCAGCATTTTATGAAACCCGAAGGTTCATTAACGTGTTCACAAGAGCCCTCCACCAGTCCCTATCCTGAGCCAGACCAATCCAATCTATACCATCCCATCCTGTCTCTCTAAGGTCCATTTTAATATTGTTCACCCATCTATGCCTTAGTCTTCCCAGTGGTCTCTTTCCTCCTGGCTTTCCTACAATATATCCTATATGCATTCCTTGTCTCCCCCTTTCATGCTACATGCCCTTACCACCTCATACTCCTTCATTTGATCATTCTAATTATACTTGGAGAAGGGTACAAGTTATGAAACTCCTCATTATGCAGTTTTCTCCAACCTCCAGTCACTTCATCTCTCTTCAGTCCAAATATTTTCCTCAACATCCTGTTCTCAAACACCCTCAGTTTATGTTTATCCCTTAATGTCAGAGACCAAGTTTCACGCCCATACAGAACCACAGGCAAAATTATAGTTCTGTATATTCTAATTTTTATGTTTTTGGACAGCAGACAAGGAGACAAAAGGTTTTGGACTAAATGGTAGCAAGCACTACCCAAGTTCAATCTCCTCTTAATTTCCTCCTGAATCAGGTTTCCACTATTATAACAAAAACGAAAAACTCCTACTTGGAAAAAGACACAATTCTGGAGGGT